GTCATTCTTGTAAAAGTCTCATACTAACACTAAGGCAAGAATATCGTATAAAAGCCAAACGGCTGCAGTACAACGAGATTCATCCGTCCACATCTGGTGAGATCGACCAACGAATCCCTTCTTGCACTTTCATCCAAAATAAAGGTCCCCCTAACAATTTTATCTCGGGAGATTCATCGAAACCAAGTTTGTCTTCGTATATACATCGTATAAAAGCCAAACGACTGCAATACAACGGGATTCAGCCATCCTCTTCTAGTAAGATCGACCTACGAATCTCTTATTTATGTAATTTCATACGAAATGAAAGTCCCCCCAACACCCTTATCTCAGTAGATTCATCTGAACCCAGTTTCTCTTCGTATCTACACCATCTCTATTTTTCGTTTTAGTTGCTTCTCTTCTCGATCGGCTTCATCAACTCAAATCAGAGAATGATCTTCTTGAAGCCAAAGTTCTTCAGCTGCAACTTAAGCGAGAACGTCTTAGGTCTGTTAATGGTCGCCTCACTGCCTCTTTAGCTAATATGGAAAAGTCTTCCGCTGCAGTTACGGCGGCTGCCGCAGCTATGGCTGGACAAAGCTCAGGGAGCATTAATGTGTCTACTCTAACTACCATCGCTTCCATTTCCAGTGCTAATGCTACCACTCTCACAAATACTTTTGTAGCTTCATCTATTGCTTGTGTTTCCACATCATGTTCGGGACTGCCCAGCATTAATACTCTGACTCCTGTTGGCCTCTCGATGTCGGCTACGCGCGCCACTCCTCTTTCAACACCTTCCACAGTTGTTCAACATCATCGGCATCTTGCTACCTCTAGCCTGAAAGGTGACATAATCAGCTTAACTTTATCCCCACTTATGTGGTAGTTTTCTATGGCTACGATTATGCTTTTGATAATGAATCTATAACTTATGTTTTGTAATCGAATTCTTTTTTCAAAATCGACTATTGAAATACGTAATAAAATTATTTATAGCTACTTTGGGCTCCGTTTAACTGTTGATATTTGTGCCAGTCTTTTTAAACTTATGAATCTTTTTAGAAGTTTTAACTTTTCAATAATTGTCTGCTAATATTAATTTTTGGTTTAGGCTTTAGAACTCTAAGTATTCGTAATTACTAGGCTTCGAAACTATCAGTAGATCTTGAATAGTAGGCCTCACGATACATTTGAATTTTATTTAGTTGTTTGACCTTGTTTTCGCAACTTGGTCATATTGGTAGGAAGACTTAGAGGAATGCACCCTGTCTGGAGTCTATTGTATGCATCATCATTTCCAAAGTCGGACCGTGGATGTGGTACATTCCCAGACATTTCGCCGGCATCGTAGTCGGTATCGTCAGTGAGTCTCGCGATTCCTAGCACCACACAACAATTCGTCAAGAGACAAGTGTAGCCGATCTTTTGACCAAACGTCTGCTAAATAGTTGTGGTATCACCCCTGCCCTGGGCTATTCACATTTCCTATATCCTATCACGCTATCACTGTTTCAATTTTTACCGTGCTTATTTCAATGTAATGTGGTGTGCTCCTTTGAGCGGCATTCATGAAAACCATTCACACTCCATCCTGTCATTCTCACCCTTTTTACCCTTGTGCTTGCAATGCTGATCATAGTGTTACGCAGTCCTCTTCTCTAGGTCTTATTACAATCTATCTCTTGCCCCTTAAGATCCGTCTACTCTCTTCCTGATTCACATAATTCACTCGACCCCTGCCACCCTATATGTGCTGCTCGAGGCGTTATTCGCCCTCCCCTACGTCTTAGATTAATTCGAGGCTAAAGCCTCTGAGTAAATCTCATGGTCACGCTTTTGCTACATGCACCACGTCTATGGTAAAAACAGACCTACTGTCAGCCAACTAGCTCCACTCTCAGTCACTTCTATCCTCTTTCTATCCCTAATGCCAAGTCTAAGACTACCCATGCCCTAGTCCTTTGTGTGTCAACCCACAAACGTTGTGGTTGAAAATTAAACCTAATCAAAGCAAGCAGTACCATGGAAACGATCATGCATACAATGGACTCTGGACTAGGTGCGTTCCTCTAAGTCTTCCTACCAATATGACAAAGTTGCGAAAACAAGGTGAAACTACTTTTATACAAAATAAAGAGACTGCGACCACACAAAAGGCCACACCATCTTGGTCTTCATACCTTGAATTTAATTTAGCCTTTCCTTCTAAAGATATTTTCACTCAGGGTGAACTAAATTTTCAACCTCTTATTGATCACATCTCTACCCTCTACGAAAATTGAATTAGGATAGTGTAACATTTATTTTCAACCTGTGGTAACTCACTTCATTCAAAATTGTGATTATATTTTTCGCATTCTTATTTTTGAAACTGCTTGCTTTGGGCAACTTATCTATTTCTACATACATGTGCTTTTAGCCTATTAAATAACATCTCTTAAACTCTTACTATTTTTCGCAGATTACTTTTCGGATTTGTGTATGAAGCTATGCAAAGTAGCAAATATCATGGTCAAGATTCATTAGTTCAAATAGGCAGCATTCTTGAAAAGCCATCATTTACTTTGAATTTATTTGATCTATTTGCATATCAAGCTTCCTTTTTTACTATGTTTATTTCGTCTAGTTTTTGTTTGATTGGATTCTTTCTTACAGCAATGTCGTCCGGCAATCTTGATACATCTCGTCAAATCCTATCCCGAACTCATGTTGGAGACCTCAGGACATCCACGACAACCTTTAATGGCAGTCCAACCCATTCAGGCCATGGAATTATTAATGGTACTCAAGAACATAGTTCTATGCAGCCACCTCCTCCCCCCTCGACCACAGCTATTCCTCACAATTTTGCATCCGAATCGCCTTCTTACCCTCAAGCGGTGATTATTCCATCTGTTAACCTGCCAGCGTAGCAATGCCTTTTTTGGGGGAGTGGTCCACTTGGGAAGTCTTATGAACTGATCACTTTTTCCTAAATAACTTCATTCCTTTGTATACCATTGGTCTAGGTAACCTAATAGCTCTCTTCTTTTCTTCGAACATTCATCACAGTCTATCTATTAATCTTCTTTTTCTTTGATATATTATTTCTACCATCAAAATTCCTGTCACATTTCGTGTACAATCGTCCCAAATTTTCTGAAGTTCATCTTGCTCACGTTAAAAAATTCGCTATTATCGTGGTTAGGTTTTTTTAGTACCCATTAAAGAATATTCGATTTTTGAGTCTCGTTTTTTATATTTGTATTTAGCATACTTCTTAGGTACTTGTATTAGACCTACATTCATCTTACCTTACATAAGATAATAAAGGACTGATAGTAGAATTTTTCTACAATAGGCCTCACTTTTCTATTGAATTTTACATGACCATCCTTAAGAGAGAAGGTACTTCACCAGGGTGAATTGTATTTTCGCACTATGATAGTTCAGCATATATTCTCAAAGCTGTAGTCTACCCTACAGAGAATATTTTTTGTGAAATATAATAGTGAATTTCAATTAAAATGTGAGGCCTACTTATACAGTTGTAGAAAAATCCAACAATCAATGCTTGATCATTTTTTTCAACCTAGGGTAATTAAGACTCCTAATTCGTTTTTTATCCTGGTAGTTAGGTCATCTCGTCAATCAAAACCGAAAACAATTCAAATTCACTCTAGCTGGCTTTAAATCGTAGACAAATAAACAAAAATTTTAAATACAAACTCTACGCTTGATAGGAATACAACCTAAATGAGACTAGCAATGCATAAAATAAAAGGCATCCCTTCGAGATGGAGAATCATGCGACAGAATTCCTACTCATTTTATTCTCAATCCTTAGATGGTGGTTGCTATAGAGATTTATAGCCAGAGATTGCCGGCTACCCCAATCTTGTCTGGTCAATAGTCAAGCGTTTCCAATGAATGGAGACTGTATTTATGGTTGTTATGTTGAGGGGCGTTGGTGTATATTGAACTCATCTTGTCTCACGGTATTGAGTTAAATAGCTACTACCATACGCTGCAATCGAATTAATGGTCTCTGGCTAGGTTGCGCCCCTGAAAATATTTGCAATGCATCATGCTACATTTCTGTTAATTTCTACCTTCAATCAAATAGTTAAAAGTAAATTACTCAGGATGTTAGATTTCTTGGCCAAATATGACTAAGCCATCTGAACCTATAGTAAACTTGACCATTCTTGCCCCATGAGCTACCTCGACAGTTGCAGATGAAGATAAATAATTTTACTAGAAGGTATGAAGACCAAGATGGTGTGGCCTTTGTGTGGTCACAGTCTCCCTTCGTTGTATAGAAGTTGTTTGATCTTGTTTTCACAACTTTGTCATATTGGTAGGAAGACTTGGAAGAACGCAACTAGTCTGGAGTCCATTGTATGCATGATCATTTCCAGAGTAGGACCGTGAACATGGTACATTCCGAGACGTTTTCCCGGCATCGTCAAAGAGACTTGGCTATGCTCGCTGACGACGCCGGTGAAACGTCTGTGAATGTAACACGTCCACGATCCGACTGGAAATTATCATACATACAATGGATTCCGGATTAGGTACGTTTATCTAGGTTTCCCTACTAATTTTACCAGGTTGCGAAAGGAAGGTCAAACAACTTGTATATAACGAAAGGAGACTGACCACACAAATGCCGCACATCTTGATCTTCATACCTTAGAAGGCAAGAGAAATTAAATGATGTCTTCACTCCTACTACGTCATCGCGGGCTAACCCAATTATCAGTCCCTAGGTCGCCTAAAGTGGCTTACTGTGACTGTGGTCTTCCTTAATTACTGATAGTATCAAAGGCTACTCATCTCGAATTTTAAGCCATTTTTCCTAATTCCAATATCTAGTGTAACCGGGAGTACATTCGAGGAGTTTTTTCGAGCCCCGCATTCAAATTTCATCTACCAACATTATCGCACTGACACTGCTGCTTTGATCAAATAAATCGAAATCTGCCATACTCCATTCTGACAATTCGAAGCATAACACAAAATCATTGGTCTTAATGAAAAATTAATACTTGTGGATTGTCTAAATATTAGTAACATCTTATCGTTATTGAAAATCTTTAGCAAAGTCTCGAATGTCCCAAAGCTGGAAAGGCCAGTATCAATCCCAACGAATGCATTACGAGGTACTTCATCGATTCCCATCCAAAGACATGACTAAGTTTTATACACGAAGTAAAATCAACTATAGAAATAGTTTTACCCCTTCGATCTTTCTGTAATGGACAGATTTATAAATTAGAAGCAAAGGATGAATTGAAGATATGAAGACCAGGATGGTGTGACCGCTGATATGGTCGCAGTCTCCTTTCGATGTATACAAGTGGGTTGACCTCGTCGCAACTTGGTCTTGTTGTCACAGGGACTAGTAGAACGCACCTTGTCCGAAGTCGTCTGCCATAGTAATTGTCATGATTGCCAGCATCAGACAGTGGACTTGGTACATTCTCAAACGTTTCGCCGGCATCGTAGTCAGCATCATCAGTGAGGTTTTGCCATCCTCCGCACCAACATACGAACTTGTCAAAAAGGTAACTGAAGTCAATCTCTCGACAAACGTTCAGCCGAAAATGGTTACACTCACACCTCTTTCTGTCCTGGCCTATCTATCTACTCTCTACCATCTTATCCAACTCCCGTCCTACCACAAATTCCCAATTGTTTGCTTTCCACTCTTCAAAATGTGTGCCCTTTTGTGGCAATTCTAGTGTGGCTTCATCACACTTGCTATTCACCCCGACCCCTCTCTTTCGATCGTCTGATCCGACTCGGGCCTCCGTTCCGGATCCCTTCATTTCCTCGTATATCCGTTCCTTTTCTTTCTGGTTGACCAATTTTACTCGGTTCCTGTCGCAGTGTGCATTTCACTCCAGGCGCTATTTCTCAAGTCCCTAAAAGCACATATACTGCCGCTTTACTGAGCAGAGCGTCTAAGCTCTGATTGCCATGGGTGCAGATATCAGGCCTTCCCTACACTGGTCCTCTCCTTCATTAAACCCATGCTATCTGAGCAAACTGTGGACGCCTATCTCTGGTCGCATGCGGCCTCTAAAGTGGATTTATAGTGCATTTTGGGCATAGCGCCGAATTTCCGTGATGGTTTGCTTCTCCGTTTGCCTAGGCCAACAAAGTTGTACTGGTTTATTCGAAATGGACATTACACATTGGCAACGTCTTCGCTTGATTGACGAAAACCCCTTTCCCCACTTTCCTCATCGCGATCGCTTTTCCTCCAGTTAGCGGTAGATCCTTGATTCAGGCGTCTCCTCTTTGCTGATCTTGCTCTATTTTTGTTTTTCCCGAATTTTCTCAGGCAGTAGGTAAAGTTATCGCTAACTCTACCTTCCTCTAATCTTCTGTTCATTAGATTTTTGTCCCCAAGGATGTCAATAGCTTCTCTTTCCCGAGCAATAACCTAGTTAATTTGTTGAGCTCCTAGTTGCAGAATTCTATATCTGTTAGGCTTAGGTTTCGGATGATCATGTTCCAAATTATTCCAATATTTAGCCTTTAATTGTGATGGGACCGAACATTGAGTACTATCCCAGTATAAGACTTCTTTCTGAACAATTTATTTTTGATCATCCCATTAGAACGAATTACTTCAACGTCTAGGAACGGTAACCGCTCACCTCGCCCTACTTCCATCGTGAATTTTATTTTTTCATCAATCTGGTTTAAAAACTAGACAAACTCTTCCAGTTTTTCTCTTCCATGTGACAAAAGTTTGAAATAATCTTCCAGGTACCGCATGAGCACTGCCGGTTGTAGCGGTGCCATCTTGAATTTTTCTTCTATTTTGTTCATGTATATGTTTGCCAAAAGTGGCGGGAGCGGCGATCCCATGGGAAGTCCAAATATTTGTTCATATATGTTCCCGTTGAATGTAAAATAGGTGGTCCTTATTTTCAAGTTGATTAGTCATGTTAACGACTCCCTCCTGATTCGTTGTGATTCCATGATATCCTCTTCTCGGTCCAGCATTTCCAGCAGGGCCGTTTGTTTACATTGATTCCACATCGAAATTTACAAGTAAGTCTGTTTCTTCCAGTGCCATGTTTTTGATTTTTTGATAATATTCATATGAATGTTTCATCGTGTTTGATAGCCTCTCATTAAATTTCTTGAGTTTCAAACATATAAACTTTGCCAATTTGTGTGTTGCTCCATACTTGTTGTT